AAATTTTGCCTTTGTTGAACGCTTATTATCCATATAACAGGTTTTTGGTCATATACATTTCAAAGTACAGTGAATTTTGAAAGCCATTTGAAACCATTTTCATCCCTATCTTGCTTTTGTAAACCAGATCCCATATGGTCATTCGCCTATCCTCGAACTCATACTCTCTTAATAAGTAACGTCATCTACTATTTATAGTAGTACCACCTACATTATGTTTTCTTTTCTCATTTTATTATTAGTCCAAAGGGGAAATTTGCCCTGAAGGACTTTTATATTCGCTTTGACATTTTGCGTTGAAAATTTTAACAGGCTGTATCACTTTTCAAATCGTTGCCACCAAATATTGTAATTCTATATTATATTTGAAGAAATTAAATAATGAAGAATCTGCATTAATGCATGAATGTTTTTCGCATTATGATAAAACAGCGGTACCTTGCCATTAAATTTTGAATGACGTAATCCTACTGCAAGTATGGGCATCTAGAAACCCAAATTTGAAATTTGGAATTTGTTTTATTATCGATTTCATATTTTGTAAAACTTTAACGAATTTTTGATTAACAAACTCAAGGATTTCAAAGCGACCAATGGCAAAGTTGTACAGAAAAAACATTTTTATCTCCAGCGCGTGAGACTGTGTATCGAAAATTCTAAAGATATGCTCAATTTAAAATTATTTTGAGATATTGCTCTTGAACTGAATTTTATGGTTTAAATGCGAGGAACATGATATTTAATAAATAAAGGTAACACACAAAATGTTAAAAGCCCTTTGGTAATTAAATCTTAAACCTTCCTATTTTTTTTTTTTATGCTGTGAGCAGCACCGGCGCAAGGTATCCAGCGCCCCGCCTGCAAATAGCTGAAGTCGCCCCGCCCCCCCTTTCTAAATTTTTGTATAGGAGAAGAAAGTTTTGAAGAAAGCATTTGTTGAAATTGATTTTTAACAATTTATTGAGAATATATTATTTTTCTGCATTTCATATTTACAAATTTTTCTATAATTTCTTTTGCATCTATTCTTTGACAGATTTCATTTTCAATGGCAATCAAAGCTAAATTTTATGAGTCTTTCCTGCAATATACTTGAACGTAAATATGTCTTGATCAATTTTAATTTGGAGAATGATCTTTCGCTACTAAAGCAACACTAACAGGAATGCTAAGTAGTATTCTCAGTACGATCTTCAAGTTCGGGAAGCAACAATTATTTGACACAATTAAGTTCAAAATATCGAATGGGTCATTCATACCGGCTGTAAAAATGTCTTTCGAAAGCTACTATTTCGTCATAGAGTTCTTCTGCGTTAATATCTTTATTGTCACTGTAACATTTTACACACTGTAACAATTTTTCTAATTTATCACATTTTATTTTCAAATTTGCGTTATCGATTTCTGATAAATTACCCAGGAAACTAAAATTATCGCAGTGATTTTTCATTGCATCAAATCTTTCGTTTAATGATGTCCAAGCAGTATCCAAAATTCTAAAAAAGACATTTGCCCTAAACTTCTCTTCTGGAGATTGAGGGATTCGTCAGCATGTTCGTAATCGAAGTGACATTTCTTTTTCCTTCTTCGGACTTCTTCAACAGTTTTAAATTGTGGCTCGCCATCCACTTCTTCACTAAGTTCTTTGGCTTTCTCAAGAATACTTTTGTAATTGATATCACTTCTATATTCTTCAATGAATGTTTTTAAGTTACTTATTGCCTTTAAGGCTAGTGTAACACTCAAACCCTTTTCTTGCAATTGTTTGCTGACAGGATTAATTCTGTTAAGCAAATCGTGCCAAACTATCAAGGAACAAATAAATTTATAATCCTTGATTTATTACACTTGATTTATATTACACAGACTTTGTGCTTCATGTTTCACTTCGTTTGAAAAGCATTCATCTTCGGATATTTCAAAGAGAGCATCATAGATTTCTCCTAGTTGATATCTTAAAGGTCGAATAGCTTCAATTTTGCTTTCCCATCGAGTGTTTGAGAGGGGTTTTAAGTTTAAACAGGAAATTTTTTTAAAAGAACTGCCCATCGCTTAGGAGAAGAAGAAAATAAATTGTATAATTCTTGAATTGTCGAAAAAAAAACTAACTGTATCTGCATTCACTTTTGCTGCATCGTTAATCATTAAATTTAAGCTATGAGCGGCACAAGGAACATAAAAAAACGCACGAGGAATTTATTTTTAAGATGTTATTTGAAGACCATTTTTCTTCAATTTGTGCCTTTCGATTATTTGCCATTTTTCTTCCCTTTTCATATTTGCCGATTTATGCTTGTCGAGGATATTTTAAGATGTTATATCGTTGCCATTTTTCTTCCCTTTCATATTTGCGCCATACCCCTGGCCTCTCATATCATCAAGGGGAATGTTCCACATTTTCAACATTTCCATTGCTGTCTCACATAGCGCGTTACCTGTAGAATTATCAACTTTAATAAAGCCTAAAAAATGTTCCTTGATTTTTCCCACTCTATCTCTGCAGAGGACAAAACGAAAGACGGCACTCATGTGTTCAGTTTGCTAATATCGGGAGTACAATCTAAAATTCTAGAATAATACTTGGCTTTTCGAAGAGATAGTAAGATTTTCTCTCTTATACTACTGCCAATAATTTGCAGCATTTCCTTTTTTACTATCTTTGATTAGATAATGAACTTTGCTGTTGCTACCTTTAGGTCGTAATACTCTTTCTATGTGAAATTCCATAACAGGGTCGAATTTTGCAAACAATTCCACTAATTTTAAAAAATTGTCGTTGTCTTTTCACATCAGATGAGCCTCTAAAGGCTAAATTCTGGCTGCCAAGAAATTTTGTGATCTCAATCAGTCTCCCTAAGACATTTGGCCAATGTTTTTTTCATTTTCATACATCTCTTGTGTTTGGGAATCAATTGTTGTTTTATTTTTCAAATTTTTCTCAAGCTCTTTCCATTTTAAGAAATTTTTCATATGTGCTCTACTAATCTCATGCCTATGCAAGGCTTTAGATACATTTAGCCAATCATTATAGCCTTTTACGAGGCTACTACTGTCAACCGATGCAAATATCTTGCAACAGAAGCAAAAAACAGAATTTGTACTTATAGAATATAATAGCCGTGTACGAGAATATAATAGCCTTGAACTAATTCTCCGTTTTCCATTTTTCTGTTATAATATGTATCACTAAATTTACGTCCATTATTACTTTTCGGATACATTAAACCTTTCCTTTGAATAGGCCCCATTTCAGACAAAGTCATTCTCACTTTGTCGCTAAGAGTTGGCCACTTTGCAGGATCATCAAAATCAATATAAAGAAAGGAATTTTCATTTATGCCAGTCTCTTCCATCGAATTACCTGGATAATCTCTAACTTCCGATTTATTTAATTCCATGCTTGGATCATCTTTCCCTTCCTTTGGAGTTTTCATCAGTCCTTTCAATAACTTCATCCAATGCAGCTGATGTTCTTTGGCTGGATGATGTCTGTTCTTTTGTAATTGATTCTGATGCTGATTCAGTGTGAGCATCATTTACGCCCGAAGAAGTCTTCATCTTCTTTATGAAATGAGACATTGCGTCTGCCTGCTTCTGAAGAGCAGCATCTTTCTCAGCTTTGCGTTTACGATTCTGATTCTGTGCACCGGATGATTTCTTCTTTGTTTCCATGTTATCAAAATTTCACACTGAAATTTAAAAATTCAATTCTAAATTTTAAATATTTAATATTTCTTTTAAAAATAAGCCATAACATCTGCTAAATATAGAATAAAGATGAAAAGTAAAAAAAAATGAAGCTAATGAAAAAAATAAACTTTATGATAACCTTTTTCGAGCGGTTGGGAAGTATTAGCATCTTTCTAACAAACGATAAGGAAAAGTTTGACCTTGTGATGGGTCAAACTTAATGCTTGCCAAGGGCTCTGTGTACAATGACCACCAAACCTCTCTCTCTCCAAAAACACTAGCTAAGTCTTACCTCAACCCAGTGTTTCTCAACCTTTCAGTATACGCGGCCCAATTTTCAGCCATAATTTTCATCGCCCCCCCCACATATTATAAAGTGTATGCAATTATAATGTATTTTGAGTATTTTTGGCGCTAAATCTTAATTACTAATTAACTTACTTACTATTAATTAAACTACGACCTTAATTTTTAAACTTAAAAATTACCAAGAATACGTAAATTTATTCATATTTGGCAACGTCGATCCTCAGCATTGACAAAAGAAGAATCTGTTGCACTTTTATTGCTGTTCTGTCCACCATCTCAGATACACTCGCGGTTTCGCGAGAAGTTCCGACTTGTCTCGAACATTCTGGAGTATCTGCGTGAATGTCTGTATGTCTACATATCGCTGCGTGGCTAGATGGCGCTGCATGTCGCAAGGATTACCGTTTTCGGAGCCAAGATGCCGTCTCAAGCATGCGCAGATGTCACAAAATGTTTCTCTATAGGGAGAAGGAGGAAATTCGATAGCGCCAGTTTTAATTCCAGCCAGTCTCATTCGAGTCTATCCTTCTGTCGCTATCTATTCTACCGTGAATGTTTATGTTATATGTTTTCGTGTTAATTGCAATTTTTGCAGAAAGGGGTCTAGCAACAACTGATATGTGTGTTTGTGACAACGTGGGCTCACCAGACCATTATGTCACGGAGTGCCCCTTAACAGCAGAATGGCACATCAAATTCCCAACCACCAATGTTCTGCCTTTCAAACGCCTCCTCGTAAAACATCGAGGTACGCGGCAAAAGCTTAAAAGCATAATGGACAAACTAGAAAAAATGGGCATAGACCTCTGCAGGCCGGAATAGGGCACATGCATAAACACAATTGGCATAAAAGCGTCTTACAACTGTGAAGTCTCTAGATGGTTGCAGGGCCAGGGTAATACCCGAGTAGTCATAGAAAGCCGTCCGGGTGCCCTGTCCTGCTGTCACCTGTCACCTGTTAATTGCAATTCACCGTATTAAAAATTAACGGCGTCAGAATTATGGATAGATTTTTAAGCGGGCGTAAGCGAGCATTAGACGATAGTCAAGCATCAACAAGTACACAGACGAACGTGGTTCCGAAAATAAAATCAAGAAAATATTCTCAAGAATACTTAAATTTTGGATTTACCAATACTAAAGTAAATGAAGAACAAAGACCATTATGTATCATTTGCTCAAAAATATTGGCAGCAGACAGCATGAAACCTAATAAACTTCAAAGACATTTGGAAACACTTCATAGTGAGTACGTCAACAAACCCAGAGAATTTTTCAAATTAAAATTAAAATCATATGAAAAGCAAAAAACATTTTTTAAAAACTCTTTGTCTGAATGAAAAAGCATTAATTGTTTCTTACAAAGTTTCATATAAAATAGCCAGATGTAAAAAGCCTCACACCCTTGGTGAAAAGCGTATTTTGCCAGCAGCAATTGAGATTGTAGAAACTATGTTTGGAGATAATTTTGCAAACAAATTGCAGTCCATACCTCTTTCATATGATACTGTTGCCCATCGAATTACTGATATAGCTGAAGATGTACAGTGTCAGCTTTTCTCGAAGTTGCGTGACAAATTATTTTCAATACATTTTGATGAGGCAACAGATAGTAATAAAGACGCTCATTTCATTGCCTATGTTCGATTTTGTGATGATATGTCAATAGTAGAAGAACTACTTTTCTGCAAACCAATAGAACTCAAAGCAACAGCACAGCACACGCATTATTTGCTATCTTAAATGATTTTATGAACGAAGCAAATATAGAATGGAAAAATATCGTCGGAATATGCACCGATGGTGCTCGTTCAATATCAGGAAGATTCCAAAGTATACAAGCACTTGTAAAGCAAAAATCGCCAGAGCAACTGGACACATTGCATGATCCACAGGGAAGCTCTAGCTTCCAAAAAAAAAAATGAGTCCTGGTCTGAATATTATGTTAACTACCGTTGTAACCGTAATAAATTATATAAAAATGAGACCTCTGAAATCAAGAATCTTTTCCGCACTTTGTAAAGACATGGGCGCAGCACATTCAGCGTTACTATTTTATTGTGAGGCAAGATGGTTATCACGTGGGAAATTTAATTTTTGCAACGTGTTTATGAATTAAGAGATGAAATCGCTATTTTCCTACAAGAGGAAAACAGACCGGAAGCCGAGAATTTTTGGCAATGGTGTATTTGTGATGAAATTCAGCTACTTGGTCGACATATTCGAGAAATTAAATAACTTGAATCTTTAACTCCAAGGAGCAAATACACATATATTGGATACGAATGATAAAGTTAATGCTTTTTGTAGAAAATTGGAATTGTGGAGCACAAATGTAAAGCAAAAAAACAATGTGTAAAAATGTGGATGATTGTATTAAAACTTAGGCCGAAGAATAGATAGGCCGAAGATAGGCCGAAGAACAACATGTAAAAGTGGTTTTTGTAATCATTGAAAATCATTTAGCCATGCTGACAAAGAATTTAAAAATTACTTTCTTGCTGACGACAAACTGATAGAAAGTTACGAGTGGGTTAGAGATCCATTTCAAAATACTCCCGAAGGGCTCTCAATTGCCGATGAAGAAACCTTCATAGACTTCACGACAAGTGGAGAAAACCAAAAGACAATTTAGTAATAAATCACTCTTTGAATTTTGGGCAGGAGTGAATGATGAGTTCTCTGCACTAAAAACAAGGGCATTTCGCATTTTATTACCATTTTCAACATCCTACCTTTGTGAAACTGGATTTTCTGCGGTGGCTTCATTGAAGACAAAATATAGATCTCAGCTAAATATAGAAAAAGAACTGAGAGTGTCTATTTCTAATATTAAACCTTCCTTCGAAAAACTTTGCTCTGCAAGACAGGCCCAAGGAAGTCACTAAGAATTATTAAAATTGTTTTTAATTTAATAAGTTTCGATTTAGTAATTTTTTTTAAATTTAAGAATTATGCAAACATTTATGATACGAAGGCATGCTAAGAAGGCGGGAGAAATACCTTATAATGTTTACAAAACAAGTACTCGATTATGTACAGTTATAAGGTATGTCTCCTATTTTCCTAGGGTGCCTTCGTGGTGTAGTGGATCTGCACGCTGGGCCGGTATTCCAGAGGACCGTGGTTCGATTCCCGGCGAAGGCGGTTGCTAATTTTTCATCTCTCCGGCTTTTCCAATTAACCTAATGTCTCTACACAGTCTTGTGGCTATCGAATTATAACTCTAATACCAGACAATAATAGAATTAACAGGAATATGTTTGAAATGCTTTTCGGTGTTACATTAAAATCTTCATTTGAAAACCGAACAATGCATAATCTTCCTATATTTATATTGTTTGATACAGTCTGGAATTTTCCTAAAAGAATAAAAGATTTAAATTACCTTTTATTCTTAAGGAAAATTTCAGACAGATAACCTTGAGGTCAATTTCGACAAATGAGTGGCTGTAATTATCACGTATCTTTACAGCAGATTATAGAGTCGGAAAGAAAACAAAAATTAGTTAGTTTGCTTAAAATGCAGTCTTCTGAGAAAGGCTTATCAGGACTTGTGTTTCTTTTCATGTGTTTCGCAAACATAGTGAGTCCTGACTGGACTGGGAGGTTGACTACAACCTATGTCTTTACGAAGTGTAGAACAGAAGACAAGATGAGAAGGGTTAAATTTCCCTTTATTAACTACTGAACACAGGTGCTCCCACGCTTTGGGATACAGAGACCAACTACTTGTGGTCTGAACGTAAAAATATAAACTATGAACTAAAATAAAAATAAGAGCTGACTCTGAATAACTCACAGAGATATTTACGATTAAGAATGGCCTTTAAAATGTGCGACGTATGTAGTACGCAAACTGCCGAAACTACAATACGTTTAAATTACAAGAGGACTAAACCTCTGGCCCTAAAGGCAAACAGCAGTAAATTGAAACGCGCGTGCAACAAGGTGGTGGCCGGCAAACTCGCCTTCTCTCTCTCTCGCTACCTCTATATCGTTGGCAAAAAGCCACAACTTAAATACTTGGGCGTTAGCAAGTACAATTTGCATAACCAAATTAACGCGTTTAATTCTGGCCGGAAGTGGAAAATAAGAAAGGGCAGTAAAGTTTTAAAATAAAATAAACGTTAGTGAACTTAAGAACCTTACAGGCTCACTTATTTTATAACCTTTTCCTTGTAATGATATTGAAGACTTTAATCATGATCATCTTATTGATGATGAATTTATTGATGTTTTGCATCAATCATATGATGTTAATATTACAGAAAAAGATATAGTGTGTCTAATTTACATTTATGGATATGTTTGTAGATCTGTATTGAAGCATTGAAATTGTAATCTCTGCAGGAAAAAACTAATTCTTGACATTCATAAATACCTCTGCATTCAAAATATTTACAATCCTAATATCTAAAATGTACGAGAAGTTATATATTTCATCAAACAATCAACTTTTTCTCTATTAATGTTTCTTTCTCATCACGGAGAAAGCATTATTTGGGATGAGTAAAAGTATTTGTGTGTGTGGCAAATCACTCACTGCATGATTTGTTGAAAAGCTGTGCTACATGTATTTGCAATATATTGCTGAATAATTACTGTAAGGCTAAAAAATAACAATTTAAAGGAAACCAATGACGAAAAAAGAAAAATATGTAAATTAAATAATTCTGGATTTAGATGTAATAAATTCCAGAATATTAAATTTTAAAGTTATATAGTAAGTATCTGCAAACAAACTGTACATAGTTGAGCTATAGAAACATACTGCGGCCCCCGCCCACCAGTGGCTGAGTGGTAAAATTGCTGAACACTGGTAGTTCGGTACCGATTTCAATCCCGGCGAACGGGCTGGCTGTATGGGTGTTTTCGTTGTTTTCCCCATATGTAACTTGTGTACGAGCCAATTTCCCTTAGAAAGTCCTCCCCGAAGGCATTCCTCCACTGTGCATGTTTGCAATGTTGTGGGCAATTTTTACTCTTCTCTATCATCAAATAAATGTAGAGTGTATTTTTGATCAGATGTACTTTCTTTCATAAGAAGTTTTAGAGCATGATATAATGCTCATTGGGATTGATTGCATAGTTATGATCTTGCTTTGTTTTTAGAGAAGAATTTGTAATATATTTTTGGATATGCTATAAGATTTACTGTATAAAGTTTTTGCTTATAAAGCATCTTTAGGATCATTTTTTTCAATATGTAGATTCAACTTAAGATCTAGTAACTAGGATAACATATTAATACGATTTAGGTATTTCACTTAATGTCCACTTGTGTATTTATTATTAAAAAGCATCTTAGGATCTCGGATTGAATATTGAAAAATCTTTAAGGGAATAAAGAAAAGAAATAGCCCCTTTTTCTTCAATATCATTGCACAGAAAAACATAATTATAAAGCAATATTTTTATTATATTAGAATTAACGTGTTGATATTAATTTTTGTTACGAAATACTATATACGTTTTTTTTAATATTTAAGCAGTATAAATCAGTCTGCTTAATTTAAGCAATATAAGATTAATCGTGAGAGCCTAAGATACATTTCTTTTCTTCTTTTTTATTATCGATAAATCGAAAATATTCAAAATATAAGATATTAAGTTAAAAATTAATTTCACTTGACTTTTGTGTTTGAAATAAAAAGTGACATAAATATGTGTCGATCGCCTTCGCTTGTGGCGTCACAAATCGATGGAGCAGGCCTGTAGATATCTAGTTGTCCTTGGGTGTAGCCCCAGAAGCCAACTTAATATTAAAAATCTAATAAAGATTCTCAACGTTTTATGAAAATAACTGAATATAAAACTTCAGTTCTTTACTTCGGGCATCTCAGCCGACGTGCCTAGGGTAAGCTCCTCAAGCGGCTTTTTATATGCCTTTTGTCTTTCTGTACAAAAGCGTGCGCGAACACACCAAGATGCTTAATTGGGGAGTCTAGTCATTAAATAAATTGTATAAATGTTGAGAATTTGGACTTAGACTATAAACACCGGCAACCCAACCTCTCCCCCCCCCCCCCCCCCGAAATAGAAAATAAACTCTCTATATACCAGTGTCCAGATAGCGAAATATCCAGCTATCTGTCCAAAACCGAAATTACCGATATTACAACAGCACCCACATTACAATAACAATAGTTTACTAGTTTATAAAATAATATGATCGGTGATGAAAAATATAACAACCTGGCAACTAGGTACCTAATCGCCTTTTATAAATTAATTGCCGTGCCGTACACTTAGTACACCACACCAGTTAGTGTACCTGTCTGCCTTGAGTATCGCTGATTACTTGAACGATGAATATCTATCGTAGTGTTTAAGGCGTCTTAGGTTAGGTTTCGCTTTTTATCTTGCTTACATTCTTCTGCATGCTTGGACAACTGAAAACTATACATCAGCGTAAGTTTTTAATAACCATGGAATTTAATACTGTGCCATAACTACTATTTCTTTAAGTATAGGTAGATTAAAAATCAATAACCAGGATGAGTAAGAAGGAAACGAAAGGCACATATATTTAAATATGATTGTAGGCAAATGGTAATAAGAATATTACGATTAACTTATGTAGTAATTCTTGAATACTTTGAAAATTTTTTTTGGGGGGGAGAGAAAAAACACACTGGTCCGCGAAATTTTTTCGTAAGTTTAATTATAGATTTAAATATAGATTAATCGGCGAGCCTAAGATACATTTTCTTCTTTTTATTACGAAATGAAAATCATCT